CGCCCTGCGCCGGCCCCTCACGCTCCCCTGGCTCCCTGGGGACACGGCTGTCCCCTCTGTTCTACGCCTCTCCCAGACCCGCATGTGTCCCTGGTCCCCGGGGGACAGGGGTGGCCGTCCCCCCGGCACGGCCAGGACCAGGGTCCCTGACCACAGCGCTTGGAGGAGAGCCAGGCCTGCGCTGCGGGCAGATTTTGGGGTGCAAATGCAAAAGCCTATTTAAGAGGGTTTCCCCCCCTTTTTCAGACGTGGCAGCCACCTGAGGGGTGCTCATGGGGAGTCGGGGGGACACGAGTAGGGCCAGGGGCACGGGCAGAACACCATGGTGGCTGCAAGCAATGGTCCATCAGCTGCAGCTGGCTGCTAGCCGGCCCTCTCCAAATCCACTAACAGAGCAACAGTAGCAGCCCAGTGACTCCCGAGTAGCAGGAGGTGGGTACCCTGTTTACAGATGGGAAGATGACAGAGTGATTTGCCTGAGGCCGCCCAACAGGCTGGTGTCAGAGCTGGAAATAAAAACCACCCTGCTCCAAAGTCTCTGGCTGTGAGCGTGAATAAATACCCCCGGCTCGACACGTGCGTCCCAGCTGAGAGACTAGGGCTATAATGCTGAATTATGATTTTTGCATGGTATGCGATAGTTGCTAGGGGCCCTAATCAAGATTCAGGCCCCACTGCAGTTTGCAGTGCGTACGCAAAGGATAAAAGGCAGTGCTTGCCCCTTGCAGCCCGGGGACAGAGCTGGCAGGGATGAGCAAGCAAATGGGGATAAAGGCAAGGCAGTGCTGAAATACAAACATTCAGAGGCATTTGCAGTGCTTTACATATGTTATTAGCCCTAAGTGCTCACATGCACAAAAAAACTGTAGGGAGCTGCTCTTTGTCTCCTCTCTATAAGCAATTGCCTGCACTCAGTGCGAGTTAGCTTAAAAATCCAAGGATGAGGTGGGGCACGGGAGCTCATCCTGTGCTGATCCTCTCCTTTAGGTAGAAGGGAGAATTTTAGTATTCCACACTGTCATCAATAGCTTTTCCTAGCATGAAATTCACTTAAAATTTGAAATTGCACTTTGCAGAGGTCTACTCATCTGCCTATCAAGTCCCCTTTAAAAATTAATTTCACTATAGGTTCTTCTAGCCTGATTTCCAATGGAAATGAGGCTTACGTGGTCATGGTGTCTGTATCTGTCTGCCTGTCTGTCCATCTCTCTAATAACTTTTGAACTCACTGGCTGATCTTGAACAAGTTTGGCAGAAGTGTAATTACATCCCTGCAGATTTCATGTAAATAAATGGCCTGATAGCAAAAAGAGACCCTATCACAGTCCCTGACAGGGAAAGTTACAACATGGGTTCATGCCTTATTAGATTTCAGATATTCCGTAAAAGTTAAAACACTAATAAGTGCCTGACCTGTATAAAAAGCTTCAAATGAAGTTTATGCCATCGTAGACGCCCTAGTCAATCAACCACAATATACAAATACACAGGAGATGCGGCTTTGTTAGTTCCAGTGCTCACTGAACTACTTGCTGTTTTTTTTTTTTTCTGTACCAGAGGCTGCCATCAGCTCTGCTATTTCATGTGTGACTAAATAAAATCTCTTTAATCGTAGGTGCTCTATTCATTCATAGCTGCACAGTGTAATCCTTTGTGTTCAGCTAAGGCTCCCACATGAAAGCAACAGTAAGTTCACAAATGTATGTTTAGTTTTATATTTAAAAGCAAGCAAACGTTTCCCACATCCAAGTAAAAGCAGCAGAGATTTTTCAGTTTGTTGTGATGAAATGTTTGGCCCCCTTCTCTCACTCTAAGAGACAAAGTGTTGTCTGTGTGTTGATAAGATAAATAGGGGCAAGGAGCTGTACGAAAGCTGAGAGAGACCCTTTCCCAATGCATGTATGTGACCTGTCCCCCCTCCCCATCCTCACAGCAATACATTCCAACCAAGCGCATTTCCAGCTTTTATAAGGTCTGATGATTCAGTCCCTTTTGATATACCCTGACCCTCTGGCTGACAGCCTCACCTCAAAGACTGGTAAAAAGGGCTGTGTAAACAAACTGCCCTCTCTGTCACAGAGGTAACCCAACCCTTCGGGACCGGAGAAGAAGAAACGTGGCAGGCAGGGTAGAGGGAAATACTTGTGCCTGGCCCTGCCTCTCTGGGAGCAAGGAGTGAATTCCAGTTCCCACTCTAGAAGAGGGTCATTATTGTTTCAGCTCAGGTTTTCCTCTCTGCCCTTACTTAGCTCCGGCTCAAGAGAAAGAAGAAAGGGGAAACCGGCTTTTAAATAGGGCGGAGGCAGCTGCAAATCCATGCAGAACTACACTATCAGTCCTTTGATTTATTTTGTTCCTGGGGATTACTCGCTGGAGGGGCAGCGTGTGCATAGGCAGGGTTGGGTCTCTTTGCTTTTCGCCTTTCTTTGGGTATCGTCCCAGCCAAGTCCTGGTAAGGTCTTGCTTACTTTTCTGGTCTGGTTCCAAAACGTTTTCCAAAGGATGTAAACTAACCTATCAGGAAATATTACCTCTTGTTGTAACCCTCCCCCAACCCCATTACAGTGTTTTAAATCTTCTGCCTTCAAACACCTCCCACGTATATTCTGGTTACTTGGGCCTAATTGCTTCACTTTACTTTGCGAGGCAGTGCAGGTTGTGTATTAGATAAAGATATGACACCTTATATTTAGCATCAATTGTAACTGTGCTTGTCCTGCGCATACATCTCTCTTGCCAGTCCTTCCTGTGTAATTTCAGTCCCTAAATATCCCACCTCATGATATATTCTTTGATAAATTTCCCAGTAGTGTTTTTCTTGTGACATAAACTGCTGCAAAGCTCTTCTTTTAAACCTTTGGGTGCTCAGCTCTTTAGGAATAAAATTCTGATGCCTTCCCCCTCACCTTTTCTTTACATCTTATGTCTCCCAAGAGCAGTCAGCATCTACATGCAAAATAGGAGTAAAAACAGGGGAAGGTATTAAAAAGAAAGGATCATTTTGTGATAAAGTGGTTGAGAACTGTATAGTAGAAGCCTTTTTTTGAGGGGAGTATCCTCCAAAACAAAATTACATGATTTACCAAAATGTCTCTGATCAACCATACTACCTTTTTTTTTTCCCTCTCTTCATAAAAAGCAGCAACTGCTTAAAAATGAGTTTTGCAAAGAAAACAGGATGGCTTAAGTGATGGAGGATACAAGAGAGTGTTTTCCACTTTTCAGTGTTCCAGCTGCAGGTTAGCCTGAGGCAATGGGGCTTTGCCGTCTTGAAATGGAAGGGTAAATAAATAGGTGCCTGTGCCATGGTTGTTATTAAATGCTACACTCCTTCCCTGTGCTGGCTGGCACCACAGAAAGACTCGCAAAGGCTTGGTGGAGATTGCATCTTCTCGACTCTCTTCTCTGCAGCCAGGATCCAGGAGTTTGTGGGAAGACTATTACGTCTGCAGCAAGCCACGCTCTGCTTGTCCCGAGTCTGAAATCTCATTTGCAAGGGCTGCCAACCCAGTGCAGGAATGGGTGCATTAGTCACGTCCAAGTATTGGCAGAGCTAAAAAGCCTGAAACAAGGTGATTTCAGGGTGGAGAGGAAGAAGTGTTTGCCTTCACCGTTTTCCCTCCAGCGACCCAAAGAGCTGCAGGCAGTGAAAGGTAGGTGTGTCACTTCTGCAGCAGCAGTGACAGACTGCAATCCGGAGGATGAAGAATACTTTCGGATGCTTCCTTTCTGTCATATTACACTGCCTCAGGGAGAGAACCTAGCTGCTGAGTTGGAGAATTGCCGCAACTCAGTCAAGTGCTTCTGGCCTCCCACTCAGTTTTTCAGCTGTTGTTTCCATGTGAGAGTAAATAGGTAAGAGAGTCCTCTGAAGAGAGCAGAAAGGAACAACTGTGTTCGCGGGCTCATTTCTTGCAGCAAGGTGTTTGCTGACTGAGCATGCACAGAAAGGCCTTTAGCTGTTTTCCCAGGCTGCTCCCATTCACAGGGCAACAGTTTGAGGCAGTTTCCTGTAAGAAATAGTGCTGACCCAGGTCTCTTGCCCAATCTTTCAACTCCCATATAGGCAAGGACTCAAAACTGGTTGCAATTCAGAATTCAGCTAAGCTACCCTGCAGGGCCTTGGCCAAGTTGTCTGCTGTGCCTCAGTTCCCTATCTGTAAAATGAGGAAAATGCTGCCCTATTTCACTGGACTGCTACAGGGAAGAGCTTAGAAAATAAAAACCCAAACCAACATCACCTACGTTTACTTTGGTTTCTCCTGCAAGGGGGGGAGAAAAAAGAGACAGCTGTGGAGTCCCTTTGCACATGAGCCAAACCCTGAATGGAAGCTCTCACTAAAGAAAGCAGCAAGGAATAAGCAATGCAGTCTCTGAATAGGATGCTTAATTGCAGCCATAATTATGTAACTCTCAAATCACAGTGTGCTTTATAGACAAAGGAACACCAGGAATGGGGGCGCTGATAAGTTAAGGCAGCAACAAGTCTACAGCATTGTGTACTTACCTGTGTACTGGACACCTGTCAGTGTGCATTGCTACCGACTCTTTGGAGAAGATAATGCTCAGGTGAGAGTTGATGGGGAGAGGAGTGGAACACAGAGGGAAGTCTGGGATGGGTGTCCCAGGCAGAGGCTGGAGGGATGGGTAGTAGACTGGCAGGAAGCAATTAATGGGACAATCTTGGTATGGTGGAGCAGGCCACCAGGCAGTGCAGCAAGATGAGGTGGGAGATGGGAGTTACGTGCTGATGACAAGGATGAGATGTCCCAATGCTATGTGGTGGGTAAGAGGGAGTCAGTGGAGGGAACGCATGAGACATGATATAGAATC